TTTTTGTTAATGTTGATAGCTGTTTTCCAAAAAAAAAAACTAAAAAACTAAAAGTACTTTTCTTTTTTACAAAACATTGAGAAAGCTAATAAGGAAACTACATTATTTAATTAATATCCCAGTCTCTTGTTACTGTTTTAGTAAACGATTATCTTTTATTTAATTAGATTCTCAAATAAATAGTTAAATACAATATTTTGGATTCTTTTAAACGAATATCTTGTTTTACAAAATACAAGTTTTGATGAATAGTCAAATACATAAAATATATTTACTAAATTAAAGTTAAAATATTTCATATACCATCATTTTTATATTCTAATGATTGTTAATTATAAGTTACGTACATTAAAATCAAAATCTTTTAAAAAGAATATATTTCTTGAAACATTCTAAAATAAATAAAAAAACCTAATAGTGCCATTACTTTTGAGATGAAAAGAGTTTTAGATTGCCTTTTCTTTAAGATACATTTTCAAATTAATGAGTTTCATATTAATAGTCGTTTATGAAGATATTGTTGAAGATTGGTTATTCATCTAAATATGTTGTGCATGTGTTTGAGGTAATTAATCTGTTGAAATGTATTCTTCTCATGATTAATATATTTTACTACAGACATATAGATACAAATATAGGATCTATATGCTTGTATGAATGTAATAGATTAAATAAGGAATAGACAAGGTAATGATTTCTTTATTATAATTCATTTTCATATGTGGTTATATAATTTAATATTGATCTTTGTTGTTTGGTAGAAAAAAAATAAGAAGTGAAAGAAGTGAATATATTCAACAATGGCAAAAGCACATCAAATACAAAATGCATACAATCTGAAGTTTTTTACTATATTATCTGGTTAAAATTTGCAATTTATATCATAATAAATAGGTGTATAAAAAAATATCATATTGTTATAAAATTTATCTAATGTAGAATGTTTTCTAATAGAACTCTATAAAAAATAATCTCATAAATATGTGAATGTCTCCCCAATATAACAAAAAAAACAGTATCTCAATTCACAATTAAAAATGCAAAATGACCAAGAATTCCACATATATAGCATCAAATATCATCGTCAGACACGTCTTTCACACATCCAAAATTGTCTTCATCATCAACTATAAAAAGGATTATCGTCAACTCTTTGACACTTTTATATAATGAGAGAGTTAGTCAGACAATCATTAAAAAAACAAATAGAGTTGTTAAATAATAAAAAGAAAAACAACTTGTATATAATTACACTTATCATTCATTTCACTATTCAAACTACGTATGTGAGTATTATTGATTCAAATTGGTGAAGGGGGATCATTGAGATTTCACAACTTGATAGTAGATATGATTTGTATTTTGTATGTATGCATTATGTCCCAACACACAATCATGTTTGTGCCAATAGGTGGGGAAACATGAAGATGCCGAAAAGTCATAAATTTTTAAGGTCCTATTTTTATATATCTTATATCGTTAGTATTAAAAAAATATAATATATCGTATATAACTACCGAGGAAAAAAAAAGGAAAGAAAATTGATCCAAAACAAAATCAGTGGATAAGACTAAGGGACATGTGAGTCTTTTGAAATAATAATCGTATTGTGCTTCTCACCGCCATCGATTGATGAACTCTATTAATCATATATGATATTTTCAATCGTAACAAACAAATCGATTTTGAATTTTCACGTATCCTTATGATTTCGATCTTTCTTAATATATCGATTATGTTAATGTGATTTCATGCATCCTTAAAAAAAATTGATATTGCATTTGTGTTAATATGATTTTAAGCAGGCTCACTAATTTTAATTTCTGATTTATGATTTGTGTTAAACTAATTTCTTATACGAGTGAATTGTAAGATTTTGTTAGTGTTCTTCACTTTTTGGATGTTAGTTTTATGATAAAGAGATTATTTATATGCTTTCTTTCTAATTTTATATAAATAAATTGAAACATTTAACGCGCAAGTTTTTTGAAATCATTGTTACTGGAGCCGCGAAAACGATTCAGAAATCCTTCTACTTGTAAGAGAATGATTCGACATCATAAGTTCACAACTAAGTATTTACGTTTTTTTACTTGTTTTTTTTCCTCATTGACGTTGTTTTATAAGTTGAAAATAAAAACATGTAGTCTAAAAAATATTTATCTAATAGTGACAAAAGCAAAAAGAAAAACGAGTAACTAAAACTATTACAAAAACAATCTATGGACAAATATATAACAAAAAAAACATTGCAAAAAAACAAAAAAGCCGCCTTCCTTCCTTTATTTATTTATTTACTGTAAGGATCTTGGTTTTATATTTTGTCCGGACCTCAAATTTGCTTGGATTGGCTCTGCACACAATGATATAACACCATTTTCGGTGGCTTGTTTCGAGACCGATACATTCTTATAGACTTATACAACTCAAATATTGGTGTCTACAACTTCTTGAGATAGTTTAAGTAAGACCAAAGTAACATCATTGCACATGTACCATGAATAAGAAGATATACACCCTTATAAAAGTCCAAAGTAACATCTATGAACATGTACCATGAATAAGAAGACATGCACTATTATAAAAGTAATCATGTGTATGTTTTTATCAAGGTTCAAAAAAAGCTAGTCATTGCTCAAGTGCTTGTATTTGACGTCACGCTTCAACAAAATATCGTCTTAAGTCATATATGTATATAAAAATTAATAATACTAGAATATATATATATATATATATATTTCAAGGTTGTAAAAATCGTTCGACGTTAGCTAGTCGGTGGACTGGGGTTAAGGGATTAATCGGCTAGGCGGAGATTAATCGAATGATTAATCGGAGACCATTAATTGCTAATTTGTTAGATTTTAAAAAATTAAATAGGCTCACCTTCTATTCAAGTAAACAAAAATCATGCTGTTTATCAAGGTTAATCAAATTCATTTGGATTAAGTGAGTAATAACGGACGACATCAATAAGTGTCGGTCGTAGTCTGTAGTTATAATTAAAGTCTCCTGGATGGAGAGCGAGAATTTGTGTATAGATCTATACGGGGGTGACTCCCCCGCACCTAAGTTGTTCGCTATAATTAGACTCGGCCGGTCTAGGGTGAAAAATCTTAAGATCAATTCTGGCGTTCACTAGAATGCCAAGACAGACGAACTAGTGATTATCATGCATGGTTATAGAGACTCACATAACAATCCAATACCATCTAAGTAATCAGGGGAAATCATATTCATTCGATGTGACGATACAATAATACAAAAAGATCTTACTATTTTATCAGAAAACATCGGGTTTTCCGGGGAAATCAACATTATTCACTTGTACTTTCAATAACTATAATTCAAAACTTCCCATTTATACACGTTTTGAAAATCATTCATGCATATACTGTGACATCCCCATTTTCACGGCCAGAAAAGACTGATTTTGTTTATGCTTTGTTTAAAAATCAAAGTAACATATTAAATAAAGTATTGCGGAATTTGTCCCAAAACAAAATATGAAGATTTATCAAAAGCATTTCCATAGAAATGTATTTCATTAAAAAGACTCGGGATGTCATGTTCGATACAGATCATAAGCATAAACAATACAACATGGGCCTTACTACATTATTTTGTATTTACATACCTAAAATCCCTTAATCTCTCATCCCAAGACATCACACCTATGCTCATGCGCCACTACCTGTAATACAAGAAACTAAGTGGGTCAGGCTTGGGAGCCTAGTGAGTATATAGGGTTTTCAACCCACAATAAATAAGTTTATCAACTTTATCAAACCAATCAAACCCGATTAGCTGTTCCCGTTATCCTCTCTTTACGTCCTTAAAACATCTAACACAAGGGACCTAGTCTAAGGACTATCATCGGAATGGACACTACTGCTAAGGGGATTCCTCATCAATAAATATCCTTAAGGCAACCATGTGGGGGATGGAGTACATCTGGTGAGCACACAGTTCAAATAAACATACAGTTCAAATA